AGCTTTTCTCTGGATCCACAGATCCTAGTTTATTGCCCTAAACAGAGTAGTTACTTAATATTGTAACCGAATACCATTAATTGGGATACACTTACTGGGCAGGTTATTGAACATGTTATTTTCCCTTGGTTTATATGTTCTCCTTTTTAAGTAATCTCTTCTCTGTTCCGCTTCTGTTTTTCTTTTTACTAGAATCTTGGCTTCATCGTTTACTGACATTGTGATCTTGAACAGCTTAACACACCTCTATATATTAATTTCTTTATTTGTAAAATTTTGCCTGCCTCATAGGGTTGTTGTGAGGGTTAAAGAAAATGCTTCTTGAAACTTATCGCTCCTTTAGGTGTTAACATAGCTGTTATTGATTCATATCCTCTTGGTTACTTTATTTATTTATTTTTTGAGTTGGAGTCTCACTCTGTCACCCCGAATGGAGTGCAGTGGCACATTCCTGGCCACCGCAGCCTCGACCTGCTGGGCTCCAGCGATCCTTCCGCCTCAGCCTTCCAAGTAGCTGAGACTACAGATGCGCGCTACCACGTCCACTAATTTTTCATTTATTGTAGAGATGAGGTCTCGCCAAGTTGCCCGGGCAGGTCTTGAACCCGCAGGCTCAGGCAATCCACTCACCTTGGCCTCCCAAAGCACTGCGATTACTGAACCACTGAGCCCGGCCTACTTTATTTTTTTATTTTATTTTATTTTTTTGAGTCAGAGTTTTCACTCTGTTGCCCAGACTGGAGTGCAGTGGCACGCTCCCAGGCACTGCAGTCTCAACCTGCTGGACTCCGGCAATCCTTCTGCCTCAGCCTTCCAAGTAGTTGGAACTACAGGCACGCGCCACCATGCCCAGCTAATTTTTGATTTATTGTAGAGACGAGATCTCGCCACGTTGCTCGGGTAGTTCTCGAACCCGCAGGCTCAAGCAATCCACTGGCCTCGGCCTCTCAAAGTGCTGGGATTACGGGCTGAGCCACCGAGCCTGGCCTCTCTTGGTTACTTTAATATGGTCAACTGTCCCCTTATTAATGGACTTTTAGATTATTTTTCAGGACTTTGGTGCTTCAAATGGTAGAGTAAATCCTTGAACATACATCCCTAACTCCTTGTGGTCTTATTTTTGTAACATAGAGTCAAATGGGAATTTACATCAGTGGTTCCAAACATTTGTAATTTTATTGGCTACTTCCACTTTACCCTCCTGAGCAGAATTGGGAAATGTGGGAAAAGGTAGTGGTACAGTCTGTAAGAGTACTCATTTGCCTATAACCTTATCAGCAATGGACTTTATCATTGCATTTGATATTTTTCTCTTTTTTTTGAAGTAATTATAGACTCACAGGATATTGCAAAACTAGTACTTATAGCACCCCCAGATCCCTTCAATGGTAATACAGTACAATATCGAAACCAGGAAATGGACATTGGAATAATTACTAAGGCTTGAATCCATTTCAATTCTCCCAATCTGACCAGTGATGTCTTGACTTAATTTGCTTACCTCGGTTGTTACTAAGTTGATCGTCTTTTCATGTGTTGTGTTGGTCATTTACGTTGATTTTAATGAATTGTTTGTTCATATCTTTGATTTCTCTTTCCTTTCTCTTCTTCCTTTTCTTTCCCCTCCCTCCCTCCTTTCTTTCCTTCTTTCTTTCTCTTTTCTTTCCTTTGTTTTCTTTTCCCTCCCTCCCTCCTTAGTCCTGGGCTCAGGTAAATCCTTCCATGTCAACCTTCCAAGTAACTGGAGTCACAGGTGTGCGCCACCACACCTGGCTAATTTTTTTTGATTTATTATAGAGACAAAGTCTTGCCAAGTTGCCCGGGCGGGTCTTGAACCCCTGGGCTCAGGCAATCCTCTTGCATCCACCTCCCAAAGTGCTATGTTTACATGTGTGAGTCACCACACCTAGCCTGACCATTTTTTTCTAGTGGGTTGTTTGTATTTTCCTAAAATAATCTCTTCTTAGGACTACTAATCTTTTGTTTGTCAATATATAATATGCCAATTATATACTTATTGATATCAACTTTGGTATCATGATTGGAATTACATTATGTGCATTTTTAACATAGAAATATCCAAACTAAGTAAGCATAACTATGAAAATCAACCCAGAAGATGACCACCACTTTTTTCAGCAAAAGACTTTCCTTTGTTGTTGTTTTCCACCTTTGTAGTCGGGGGGATGCAAACCTTCTCCTCAGTTTTTGACCCTCAGCACATTTACAGCACCAGAGGGCATAGGACTCATGTCCTTGCTCTCTCCCACAGAGAATGCTTATCTTTAGGCATCCTAAGGTCTTTAGCAGCCTCTTCCAATAGGCTTATTTTTGGTTATTGAGTAGCATCAATAAAGAACTGAGAGCGAAAAGAGTGGGAAATGTGCAATTAAGCTGCCTTACTCGTACCTTAGGTATTGTGAGAAGATTTTGTTTTATTATTATTATTATTATCATTATTATTTGAGTTGGAGTCTCACTCTGTTGCCCAGGCTGGAGTGCAGTGGCATGTTCACGGCCACTGCAGCCTCGACCTGCTGGGTTCAGGCAGTCCTTCTGCCTCAGCCTTCCAAGTAGCTAGAACTACAGGCATGCGCTACCATGTCCAGCTAAATTTTTTTATTTTATTGTAGAGATGAGGTCTCATCAAGTTACCCAGGCTGGTCTCGAACCCATGAGCTCAGGCAGTCCTCTCACCTTGGCCTCCCAAAGTGCTGGGATTATAGGCATGAGCCACTGCGCCTGACTGAGAAGATTTTTAAAAACACTTAAAAGATGCTACACATCAGCCGGGCTCGGTGGCTCAGCCTGTAATCCCGCGCCTTTGGGAGGCTGAGGTGAGTGGATTGCCTGAACCCGTGGGTTCAAGACCTGCCTGGGCAACTTGGTGAGACCTCATCTCTACAATAAATAAAAAATTAGCTGGGCGTGGTAGCATGCGCCTGTTGTTCCAGCCTCTCGGAAGGCTGAGGCGGAAGGATCGCCAGAGCCCAGCAGGTCGAGGCTGCGGTGGCTGGGAGCATGCCACTGCCCTCTAGTCTGGGCCACGGAGTGAAATTCCAACTCAAAAAAAAAAAAAGATGCTACACATCTCCAGAGACTCTAGACCACTGATTGTTTCTATTTGATTGCTTCCATATGAACTTTCCATGTGTTTCTTTGCTTCTTATATTTCTTATTATGTGAAATATCCTAATGTTTTGTCTAATATTTTAGCTGTTTTTCCTAGATATATGAATATTATCTTTAAGTATTATAGCCCTTTTAATACTGCAGCTCCTAATCTTATGCTAATACTTGATTTTTAACAATATTTTTCTGCTACTGTATTTTTCTGTATTTTAATACTGTTCTTATTTTGAAGCTCTTATTTAATATGGTCTAATTTCTTGATCTTTTTATAATTCCTATTATAAACTAAAGGTTAATTATCCATCTGAAATAAATACTTTATTTAATTTTATGCTAGTTGAGCTACAATTTGATATTTTATACTGAATTTTTTTTTTGTTTTTTTGAGTAGGAATCTCACTGTGTCACCCAGACTGGAGTTTAGTGGCATGCTCATGGCCACTGCAGTCTCTACTTGCTGGGCTCAGGTGATCCTTCCGCCTCAGCCTTCCAAGTAGCCAGAATTACAGGCATGCGCTACCACGCCCGACTGATTTTTTGATTTATTGTAGAGATGAGGTCTTGCTGCCCAGGCGGGTCTCAAACCCACGGGCTCAGGCAATCCACTCACTTCAGCCTCCCAAAAGCGCGGGATTACAGACTGAGCCACCGAGCCCGGTTTGTACTGAATTTCTTAATGCATATGATTCCATTTGATGTATGCTAAAAAGTGTAAATCCAATTTACAGTTCTCTTTACTCTTTCTTAACATGTGAGTAATCATTTTAAACAGAAAATCAGCACTAGGCTCAGTAGTGTAATATTTTTTTTTTTTTTTTGAGTTGGAGTCTCACTCGGTTGCCCAGACTGGAGTGCAGTGGCCGCTCCCGGCCACCGCAGCCTCGACCTGCTGGGCTCCGGCGATCCTTCCGCCTCAGCCTTCCGAGTAGCCGGAATTACAGGCATGCGCTACCACGCCCGGCTGATTTTTTGATTTATTGTAGAGATGAGGTCTCGCTGCCCAGGCGGGTCTCGAACCCGCGGGCTCAGGCAATCCACTCACCTCAGCCTCCCAAAGGCGCGGGATTACAGGCTGAGCCACCGAGCCCGGCTAGTAGTGTAATATTAATGCCATTCCTTTAATAAAGAGATAAACCAAGGGCACCTATTATTAATTTTTATTACTATTTGTTTTTGTTATTACTGTTTGTTCTGTTATGTAAGTACTAAAAGACAGGAAAGAGACATATGATTTCAATTAGAAAGGAAAATAATGTTTCTGTTTTTTACAGATAATTTTTTATGTACCTAAAATTTTAGTAATATGATAAATGTATATTAGAATTAAAAACCTTTTAACTTAGTTGCTACATACAACTTCGGAACCATACTTAATACCTTTTAAATTATTCTCATGTTAGGCTTAAATACAAGAGATCGTGGCAGTGTATTAATTTCACAGCTAAGGTTTAGTCTGGTGCAGCAGTATGCGTGGGAGTATTGTTTATTTGAGCGTGCGCGCGCGCGCGTGTGTGTATGTGTGTATTTGTTCTTTTTTTCTGTTTTACCTCTGGAAAGCTGCAAAGCTTGTGCTAAATAGAATGCTTACAAAATATATCTGTGATATTTCTTTATTTTTCTTGACTTAAATGTTAGATACTGGATCAGGATTAAAGATTTTTTTAAAAAGGTACGGAAATGATTTTTATATCCATTTTCTTCATGTCAGCCTCTTTATTAATAGACTTTTCATCATAGTTTATAAAACACGTTTAAGTCAAAAGGAATACTGACCAATTAATTTTTTCTTAAGTCACTGTTGTGTAGGATATTCAGAGACAGAAACTAATCATTGTGTTCTCCATCATCATCTTCTTTTTGTTTTGCAGTGGAACTTCTCCTCTTGCGTGCCTGAATGCAATGCTTCACACAAACTCCAGAGGTGAAGAGGGCATCTTCTATAAGGTTCCAGGTAGAATGGGAGTATATACTTTGAAGGTAAATATTTTTGCTGGGGAGTCATTTAAAAAGAAAAAACAGGAAGTGACCACATATGAGTGGTATTTGAGTCATACAGAATTCTGTTCTCAAAGAGCTTATTTTCAGGAAAGGTAGTATTGTCAATCCCTATACCCAATGCATTTTTATAACTAATCTATAACTATAGTTAGATCAGAGAAGTAAGTTTACTTTTTTATTCTTTATAATAATCTTATCTTAAAAAGATGAAATAAAAATGACTTCCAGTGACTTTTTTTCAGGGCCTCACAGCATTTGTATAATAATTGTGTTACTTTTGAGGATTCTGCATAAATGCTTCACATTCTCATTTAATTCTCCACTACGATTCACAGTTGTGGTTATTATTTCTTTTTTATAATGGAGAAAACCAAAGTTCAGAGGATTGAATTTTCTTGCCCAGTGTTTCCCAGATAGTATCAGACCAGACTGTGAACTCAGATCTGACTGAATTCCCAAGTCCATATTCTTTCTAACATAATAAACTTGCTAATTTCAAATTCCTGCACTAAGAAGGGACATTTACTTATCGCTGTCCTTTCACTTACAAACAGGAAAACCAACTCAAATCAAATGAGTTTGAGTAAGAGAGAGAATTTATTAGCTATGCAACTGAAAATTATAGGGAAACCCTGGCTGGATTCAGGAGCTCATTTGACATCTTCAGGGTTTGGTGTCTCCACTTTCTTTTGGCTTCATTCTTAGTCAGGCTCTCCTCATGGTACACGACTTAATTCCTAAACCCTATTCTGCACGCTGTAAATCTGGAGAGAGAAGAGTTATAGGAAGTCAAGCAGGAGCTTTTTTCTTAATTCTGGTTTGACTTAGTTGGTTTGTCTTGGCCCATGTGGTGCTACTTGAATGTTCACTGTTGCCAAAGGTATAGGATTTTCTGATTTTGGCCAGTCTTGGATTCATGATCACCCTTTATATGAAGTTGAAATTAAGCTTACTCAAGCCAGGTGAATTGAGGAGAGAAGTTTTTTCCTCGAAGGAAATTTATCAGCAGAAGGAGAATGAATACCTGGCAGGCAGTGGTATGTCCATGTATATGTGTGTTACCCTCTTGACTTTGAGCTATAGTCGTCAGTGTGCTCAGTAGTCGTATGGAACCCACTAACATTAAAGTAATCTAATCTATGTACCAACCTCCTTTTTCAACTTCCTGTGGTTACAGGGCTCTATTCCCACATGGAGCTTTCTGTATTTCTTTTTGGTTTTAGCTGTTCTAGGCCTTCCATATTGTTAATAAAATCTATTTAAGTGCCTACTCTATTGCAGAGAAAGAAAAACATCCTAAAATGTTTTTCATATTCTCATATACTACTCAGTACAATACTTCTTTCTCTTTCTCATCTCTGTCTCTCTCTCTCTCTCTCTCTCTCTCGCTCTCGTTCTCTTTGTGTCTCGGTCTCTCGGTCTCTCGGTCTCTCTCTCTCTCTGTCTCTCTCTGTCTCTCTCTGTCTCTCTCTGTCTCTCTCTCTCTCTCTCTCGTCACAATCTCATCCTGTCGTCCAGGCTGGGATGCAGTGTGCAGTCAATCACAACTTACCATAGCCCTGACCTCCTGGACTCAGCCTCCCTTGTAGCTGGGACTACAGGCATGCCTGGTTAATTTGAAATTTTTTTTGTAGAGATGGGGTCGTGCTATGATGCCCAGGCTGGTCTTTAACTCCTGGGCTCAAGCAATCCTCCCACCTTGGCCTACCAAAGTGCTAGGATTACAGGTGTGTGCCACTGTACCCAGCTGATACTTCTAACAACAGGTGTATGATGGCATCCTTCCCCCATACCTAGCAGTTCTCCAGCAGACACCAATTGGGTATCCTCTAATTCAATTCTAACACTACCTATCAGGAGATATTGTCATATCCCACCAGACTGCCCATACTTTAGATGCTAATGGCAAGTCCCAGGTTGTGATCTATACTTCTGACTAGTTATAAATTGGAGTTCCCTCCTTGGGTTTGATTAATTTGCTGCGACAACTCACGGAACTCAGGGAAAAGTTTTATATACATTTACCCCTTTACTATAAAGGATATTACAAAGGGCACAGATGGATGAGATGCATAGGGTAAGGTGTTTGGGAAGGAATGCAGAGCTTCCATGCCCCTTCCCGGGCATGCTACTCTCCAGGATTCTCCATGTGATCAGCTATTTAAAAACTCTGCTAACCCAGTCCTTTTGGGTTTTTATGAAAGCTTGGTTACACAGGCATGATGATTAAATCATTGACCATTGGTGATTGACTCAGCCTTACGTCCCTCTTCTCTCCCTGAGGTTGGGAAATAGGTGAAATATTCAACCCTCCAATCCCCAGGCCCCCATCTGGAGGCTATCCTGGAGGCTATCCAGGAGCCCACCAGGAGGAACAAAAGACAACTCCTCTATCACCCAGGAAAATCCAAGGGATTTTCAGATGCTGTCATCACTCAGGAAATTACAGAGTGTCAGATGCTGCCATCACTCAGGAATTACAGAGGTCTTAGGAGCTCTGTGTCAGAAACTGGGGTCAAAGACCAAATATGAGAACAAAGGATTCTCTTAGTCCACTGTTTCTCAGGAAATTATAAGAGCTAAAAGTAGCTCTATGTCAGGAAATACGGTCAGATAACAAATATATATTTCTTATTATGTCACAATATCACATCTATGCCAGGCACTATAGAGGATATAAAGAGGGATGAACTGGTCTCTGATCTCTTAAAGCTGACACTATAGTTACTGAAATAATTGCATACTCATAAAACGTACTGTGCTATAAAGTAACGTGATAATATAGAGAAAGATTAATCTTGAATAAAGGAGTCTAGATAGGTTTTTGTTGTTGTTGACTTGTAAAATTTGAGCTGGACTTTGTCAGATACGTAATGAGAGCAAGGGCCTTCCAGGACATGTGAATAGTATAAGAAAAAGCACAGATGGATGGATTCAGAATGGATTTGAAAGTAGAGTAAATTGTGGTGGTTTTACCCATAATGTGTGTGTGGGTTTATCTGGTAAGGATGCAGGGTGTGGTCAATATAAGATAGAGATCAAACAGTGGAGGCCTTTGAAAACTTGACTATGGGATGTGTGTGTGTGTGTGTGTGTACACGCACGCAGTAGATAGCACAGATTTTTTTCAGGATCTAATCCATGTTTAGGGCCGGGTGTGGTAGCTCACACCTGTAATCCCAGCACTTTGGGAGGCCAAGGCAGGCGGATTACTTGAGCCCAGGAACTTAACATCAGCCTAGGCAACACAGTGAGACCTCATCTGCACACACACAAAAATTAGCTGGGCATGGTGGCATGTGCCTGCACTCTCAGCTGCTTGGGAGGCTGAGATGAAAGGATCATCTGAGCCCAGGATGTTGAGGCTTCAGTGAGCAGTGATTGTGCCACTGCACTCCAGCCTGGCACAGAGTGAGGCCCCGACTTTAAAAAAAAAATTCAAGCTGGGCTCGGTGGCTCAGCCTGTAATCCCAGCACTTTGGGAGGCTGAGGTGAGTGGATTGCCTGAGCCCGCGGGTTCGAGACCTGCCTGGGCAACTTGGTGAGACCTCATCTCTACAATAAATCAAAAAATTAGCCGGGCGTGGTAGCGCGCGCCTATAGTTCCAGCTACTTGGAAGGCTGAGGCGGAAGGATCACCAGAGCCCAGCAGGTCGAGGCTATGGTGGCCAGGTGTGGCCATTGCACTCCAGTCTGGGTGACAGGGTGAGACTCCAACTCAAAAAAAGAAGAAAAAAAAATTCATGTTTTGGAAGATTTTCAAGTAGGATGAATTTAAGGATGAAGCAAAAAGGTAGTTATTGTTGTGTGGAAGAGATACTCAGGACTTGTGGTAAGACAGATGGATACAAAGACATTAGAGAAATAGAATATATAGCATTTAGAGTGAGTAAAAAAAGGGTTGTAATGATTCTAGAATTTGGGGCATGAGCAGTTGATCCTGGAGGGATCACAAGTTTAAGAAAAGAAGATAATTATATTTATATTTCAGATACTTGTTGAACCTTCAAATCAAGATGTCTGGCTGGCAACTAACTCTAAAAGCTGTTCTGCATTTTGAAGGAAAGAATAGAAAATATGGGGTGTGTATTTTAAGAAAGTGTATAACATAAGAGATGGCTCAGAGAAAATTTGCACTAGGACACAAACTTAAATGGAAAATAACTGTTATCACTAGATCAAAGTTTATAGTCCTGGCTATAATGTCATATGAATGCCAGTTGATGTAGGACGGTCACATTTTTTATGTTAGAATTGTTTCTTATATAAATATATATTACGCAAAAAATAAAATATTGGAGGAAAGAAGAACCATTCAGAGTTTTATAACTTAGAAATAACATTCACTAATGTGTTTAGCTTTTTATATATATTTTTATATATCACATGAATACATAAGTAGCTAATATTTACTGAGCTCTTATGCTGGGACTATTCTAAACTTTTTATGTTTATTAGCTCATTTAACTTCAGAATGATTTTTTAAGGTAGATGCTATTATCCCTCCATTGTAGATGGGGAAACTGAGGCATGAGAGGTTAAGACTTTAACCAAGGCTGCACAATTAGGAGAATATAAAACCACAAAAAAAATCTTGTTTCTCTTGTCCTTGGTCTTGCAACTACCCTGTTAAACCTCTCACATAATAAATGACATAGTTATTCTTTGCAATTAGCATTTTCATTATCTAAGTGCAGAAACCAAAGAGTTTCATGTAATTTTTTTTAAAGTTATTTTTCTCTTATTTTTCCTACTAACAACTTGATTTTGAAAAATGACTTATTTTTTTATTTGACCCTTTGTACATTCTAACCAATATTCAGAAATCAATTAGATTCTAATAATGCTCTATCTCTTGCTATCCAGACTAATTCTCTACGTGAATTCAGAATACATAATGGTACATATAAATACAAACACACACATACACACAGATATACATATATTTAATAAAAGTATCATTATATAGTTTTTTATCCCTGAATATTTCATCATTTATCTGGACTTCTATCTACCCAATTTTTGTCTAATTTAAGCCTGGATTGTGCCTGCATATAAATGTTGTATATAATTTTTATTGTTGGATGTAGATGGAAGCATTAGCTTATTTGACCTGTAAGAGTAATGCCAGGAATTAAGAAAATATTGCTGGTTCTGCTACTGAATCCTGTAATACTAGAAATTGATTAGTGCAATTAAGATACAACATTGCATATCAGAAATTTAATTACTAGTTGCTGAAATGGTAATAATTAATCCTAATTGGATGCCTACATTTTCAGAAAGATGTGCCGGATGGGGTGAAAGAGCTATCAGAAGGTTCAGAAGAAAGCAGTGATGGTCAGTCAGATTCCCAGAGTTCTGAGAACAGCAGCAGCAGCAGTGATGGTGGCAGCAACAAGGAGGGAAAAAAGAGCAGGTGGAAAAGGAAAGGTAAATTCACCTGATCCTTCAATAATGTACTAATTGCTGTAGGACAGATGCCCTTGTTAGTAGTAGTTCCTCTTTTCCCATATCAGTCAGTTTCTTTCCCTTACTCTTTGGATTAGTACTATCCAGGAGAGTTTTCTGCAGTGATGAAAATGTTGACATCTCTACTGTCCAGCACAACACCGTAGCCACACTGACTTGTTGAACACTTGAAATATGGCTAGTATGACCAAGGAATTTTCTTTTTAAAAATGCTTTCAGGCGGGCTCGGTGGCTCAGCCTGTAATCCCTCGCCTTTGGGAGGCTTAGGTGAGTGGATTGCCTGAGCCCGCGAGTTTGAGACCCGCCTGGGCAACTTGGCGAGACGTCATCTCTACAATAAATCAAAAATGAGCTGGACATGGTAGCGCACGCCTGTAGTTCCAGCTACTTGGAAGGCTGAGGCGGAAGGATCGCTCGAACCCAGCAGGTCGAGGCTGCGGTGGCCGGGAGCGGCCACTGTACTCCAGTCTGGGCGACAGAGTGAGACTCCAACTCAAAAAAAAAAAAAAAAAATGCTTTTTTGGCCGGACACGGTGACTTCTGCCTATAATCCTAGCACTTTGGGAGGCCGAGGTGGGAGGATTGCCTGAGCCTGTGGGTTCGAGACCCGCCTGGACAAGTTGGTGAGACTTCATTTCTACAATAAATAAAAAAAAAAAACTAGCCGGGCATGGTGACACATGCCTGTAGTTCCAGCTGCTTGGAAGGCTGAAGCGGAAGGATCTCCTGAACCCAACAGGTCGAGGCTGCAGTGACCAGAAGCAAGCCTTTGCCCCCCAGCCTGAGTGACAGAGTGAGACTCCATCTCAAAAAATAAAAAACAGAAAAAACGCCAGACTCGGTGTTTAGCCTGTAATCCCAGCACTTTGGGAGGCTGAGGCAAGTGGATTGCCTGAGTCCACGGGTTTGAGATCAGCCCGGGCAATTTGGCAAGACCTCGTTTGTACCATAAATCAAAAATTAGCTGGACATGGTAGCGCACGCCTGTAGTAGTTCCAGCTACTTGGAAGGCTGAGGCGGAAGGATTGCAGGAGCCCTGCGGAGCCCAGCAGGGCAATGCTGGGGTGACCGTGAGTGTGCCACTGCACTCCAACCTAGGTGACAGGGTGAGACTCCAACTCAAAAGAAAGAAAAAAAACCCTTTCTTTTTTAGAGCAGTTGTAGGTTCACAGCAAAATTGATTGGAAAGTACAGAGATTTCTCATGTACTCCCTGAATACATGCACAGCCTCCCCAGCTATCAACATCTCTCACTAGAGTGGTACATTTGTTACAATTGATGAACCTACATTGACACATCATTATTCCCCAGAGTTCATTGTTTACATTGGTATTGGCTATGGGAAAGTACATTCTAAGGCTTTGGACAACCTGTATAATGTATAATGACAGGTATTCATCATGTTAGTATCATACAGAATTGTTTTATTGTCCTAAAATCCTCTGTGCTCCATCTATTCCTCCTTTTCCTCCATCCTAACCCCTGGCAATCACTTGTTTTTTATTGTTTCCATAGTTCTGCCTTTTCCAGAATGTTATATAGTTAGAGCTTTTTCAGATTGGCTTTTATTTAGCAGTGTGCATTATGGTTCCTCCATGTCTTTTCAAGTCTTGTTAATATACCCTCCTCTGAGTGTGCCACAGTTTATTTACCCATTTACTTACTGAAGGACACCTTGGTTGTTTCCAAGTTTTGGCAGTTACAAATACAGCTGCTGGAAACATCTGTGTGCAGTTGTTGTGTAGGCATAGGTTTTCAATATCTTTGGGTAAATGCCAAGGAGTGTGATTGCTGAATGACATGGTTAAAAATATGCTGAGTTTTATAAGAAACTGCCAAATTATCTACCAAAGTTGCTGTACTATTTCGCATTCGCACATGCAGTGAATAAGAATTCCTCTTGCTTCATATTCTCCCCAATGTTGTCAGTGATGGATTTTGACCATTCTGCTGGGTGTGTAGTAGGCTCTCATTTTTTTATAGGCATTTACCTGATGGCATGTGTTATGGAACATCTTTTTGTATGCTTATTTGCATCTGTATATCTTCCTTGTAAGGTGTCTGTTCAGGTCTTTGGTTCATTTTATTTTGTCTATTTTTAGTTGGGTTCTCACTCTCACCCATACTGGAGTGCAGTGGTGCGATTATGGCTCATTGTAGCCTCAATTGCTCAGGCAATCCTTCTGCTTCAACCTCCCAAGGAACTGGGACTACAAGCACACGCCAACATGACTGGCTATTTTTTTTGTAGAGATAAAGTCTTGTTATGTTACCTGGTCTTAACCTCCTGAGTTCCAGCAAACCTCTCACCTCGGCCTCCTAAAGTGCCGGGATTATAGGTATGAGCCACTGTACCTGGCCTCATTTTAAAATCAGGTTGTTTGTTATCTTATTGTTGAGTATTAAGAGGTTTGTTGTTTTTTTTTGAGTTGGAGACTCACTCTGTCGCCCAGACTGGAGTGCAGTGGCCACTCCCGGCCACTGCAGCCTCGACCTGCTGGGCTCCAGCGATCCTTCCGCCTCAGCCTTCCGAGTAGCCGGAATTACAGGCATGCGTTACCACGCCCGGCTGATTTTTTTATTTATTGTAGAGATGAGGTCTCGCCAAGTTGCCCAGGAGGGTCTCGAACCTGCGGGCTTAGGCAATCCACTCACCTCAGCCTCCCAAGGCACGGGATTACAGGCTGAGCCACCGAGCCCAGCTAGTATTAAGAGTTTTTTTTGTGTGTTTTGGACAACAGTCCTTTACTGGCTATGTCTTTTGCAAATATTTTCTGTCTTTTTATTCTCTTGACAATTTATTTCATAGAGTAGAAGCAATTAATTAATAAATCAATCAATTACTTAATTGTTGAGTAGTAGTCTCACTGTATTGCCCAGGCTGGGGTGCAGTGTCAGGCTCCCGGCCTTCAAAGCCTCTACCTCTACCTGTTAGGCTCAGGTGAACCTGATGGGCTCAGGTGATCCTTCCATCTCAGCCTTCCAAGTAGCTGGAACTATAGGCGTGTACCACCACGCCGACTAATTTTTTGATTTGTTGTACAGACAAGGTCTCGCCAAGTTGCCCAGGTTGGTCTCAAACCCCTTAACTCAGGCAGTCCTTTTGCCTCTGCCTCCCAAAGTGCTGGGATTACAGACGTGAACCGCTATGCTTGACTAGAAACTTTTAATTTTAATGAAGTTCAACTTACCGATTGGGGGGGTATATGTGTGGATTGTGCCTTTGGTGTTGTGTTTGAAAAGTCATTACCAAACTGACATAACCTGGATGGTCTCCTATGCTGTGTTCTAAGAGTTTTATACTTATACATTGTGTATTTAGATCTGCAATCCATTCTGAGCTAATTTTGTGAAGGGAGTGAGATCTATGTCTTGATTTCATTTTATTGCATATGAATGCCCAGTTAGAAATTTAATTTTTTATTTTTTTTTTTTGAGACAGAGTCTTGCTTTGTTGCCTAGGCTGTAGTGTAGTGGTGTAATCATGGCTCACTGCAGCCTTGACCTCTTGGGCTCAAGCAGTCCTCCTGCCTCAACCTTTCTAGTTGCTAATACTACAGGTGAGTGCTATCATGCCTGGCTAATTTTTAAAAATTTTTTGTAGAGATAGGGTCACACTTTATTGCCCAGGCTAGTCTTGAATCCCTGGGCTCAGGCAGTCCTCTCACCTTGACCTCCCAAAGTGCTGCCACCACACCCAGCTTAACTTAAATTTAAATAGCTACGTGTGGATAGTGGCTACCACATTGGGTAACATTCTAGAGTTTTCTTGTGTTTATTCTTAGCTCTTAGTCACCCATAACTTTTTTTAGGGTGCTCTTAATTTTATTGAACACTCTAATAATCTCTTCTAAAACTTCGAGTGCTTAATATTCCAACGGCTCTCTTCTTCCTAGGAGAGGAATGCTTCTCATGTATACTAGCATACACTAAATTTTGTCTGCCTTCTTCATAGCTCACTCAAAAACTTTCTGTAGGGAATAATGTCTGTGACTGCAGCTTCTCTGGAGTGAATTTTCCAATTAAGGATACATTTTATTACCTATTCCTGCTAATTATTATGTAGCTTCTTGTTGGACTGTTTGAAGAGGGAAAAATCTTATTTACCCCAATATTTATAGTTTAGCTATACATGCCAAGGAAAGTTTAAGCCAACTCACGATGATTATTTTAAAAGAACTGATATTCCAGAAAATAGTGATATTCCAGAGCAAAACAGACTTTCAGGATTTTCCTTTGCTCAAATATCCTTTTAGATTTGAGTGATGATAGGTGAGCTGCCTTTGGATTTAGGAAGCTAAGGTTGTGTTTTCTGAAATACTTGATTCATTCAGTTAAGTGCTTTCAGAACTGTTAACAGCCTTATATCAGAAAAATAATTCTGATTCATTGCTCTCCCTGTGTTAATAATATTTGTGCTACTCCTAGAGAGAATTGACATAATTGGTGCATTCATCTATGCTATATAGTTAACGGTATAGCTATTGTATATGCAATTTGGGCAAACATTGTAATAAGTACCTGTTTTTGGAAGGGTGAAGCCAAAAGTGAAAAGGGCACTTTCTCTCCCTTGTTTCCTCCCAATTTACACTTTTCTTTTTAAGTTTGGAAATCGTAAATATAGTGTTGGGAACCAAGCCAAACCATCTGGCCAGCAAGATTTATGTCTTTTGGATGTTTTTGGAACAGGGAGATCAATATTAAAGAAGGTCATCTAGTAAAATGGGAACAAAATCATTGGGAATATGCTTGCTTTTTTAAGAGCTCCATATTCTGCAGTAGCTGTTTGAGTAATGGCTGTTGGCATCTGTGTTTCTTCTGCTCAGAGTTAATGATAATTAATGGCTATCCCTAAATTTGAGGTCAGTGTGTTAAGATGTGAAAAGATCCAAGAAAGCTGGGTACAGTGGCTCACGCCTATAATCCCAGCACTTTTGGAGACCAAGCCAGGAGCCCAAAA